GTGTCGTTATCCTATGTTGAATAAAATAATTAATTTTACCGAAATTTAAGTTTAAATAAACTTTGAAGTTTATATTTACCGGTGCTTCTCGAAGAATAATATGTTTGCCCTTCAATTCAGTATCGTCAAGCTTTCTAATAGCATTTTTCATATCTTCATATGAGGAAAACTCAACCACACTAACGCCAAACAGAAAATTGTGAACTTTAGTTATCTATGACAAGCCAAATATAAGGTTATAAAACAGTAATTATATGAAAATATACCCTTCCCCATCGCGGTCTTTATGGCAGTCGGCAAATGTTACTTCTCCAGCTTTTCGCATTAGGTCCTTCAAATCCTTTTTTTTAGAATGGTAGAGGAGTAGGGGAAGGAGGTTTTGATTGAGTTATGGTAAACGGACGATATGCTTCAACTATCCTCATGGGCTCTTGTGTAATTTCCATATGCCAAGTACCAATGCCAATGGAAGGAACAAGAGCCGGTAGATCCCAAGAAAAGAAGTACATGGTAATCCAAATAACAGGCCCAAAAAGAAAGCAGAACGAGAGGCAATCAAAAGATACTAAGATGGGCTCCTCTACTCTCTTCCTTCCAGGCATAAGAAACAAAAAATGCAGTCTAGTCTAGCTCATTTCTAAAAGCCGAAAGATGAGTTCGATGGGTATAGCAAATCATGGAAGTCAATGGTGGTAGGTTTCCAGATTTACTCCCTTTGTTTTCTGTCCTTTTTTCCCATGTAGTTTTTTCGAAAAGCTTTGGTACCATTTGAGACTTTTGAGGAATGTATAGAAATATATAATCCAAACAGATTTTCAAAAGAGTAGCCATTAAACGAAATGGTAGACAGAATCCAAAGGCCACATCAAGCAACCATAGGAAAAGGAGAGCTACAACCAAAGCCAATACAATATCAATCTTGTAGAAAACCGGGGCAATAAAGAGTGGTACCAATAGGCCAGCCAAGTAGCTAAAGCTGCAGGCGGCAAATATATGGATTTTTGGAACAAAAGTGCGTACCTGCCAGCTACAACTTGATGACAAATTCTCCACAATCAAACGATATTGAGGATTTCGTTGAGGAGGTGCGAAACGGCTATTGAAAGAATCATTGAGTTGTTAAAGACAGAGTTTATGAACAATCAAACTATCCCAAATATAAACTTCAAAGTTTATTTAAACTTAAATTTCGGTAAAATTAATTATTTTATTCAACATAGGATAACGACAC